GAAAATATAAAAATATAAATTTTGCTATTTAAATTTTGTATCAATGATTATTAGATGAAAACAGGATTGAAATTAATTCAAGACGCATATAACAGAAAATTTTCTTCACTGTCTAATTCATTGGATCAAGAAAAAAAAAAGGTAGCTCAAATTTATTTTTATTTATTTATTATATATATTCATTATATACATTTATTAAAAAAAAAGAGATTTATTAAAAAATAATTATATTAATTAGAAGGGATCAAATAATAGTGAAGTTTCACAACTTCGACAAAAAATAAGAGAATTAAGCGATTCTTTGTTCAAAGAAGAGGAGGAAAAAAATGAAATTTTACATTCTAAAAACTCCTTACTTGACCAATATAATAAATTATGTGATGAAGTAAATACTTTCGTTTTAATAAATCTTTTTTTTTTTTTGATTAAAATTTATATTTATCTATATGCAACAATTTTGTAGCATCAACATTGTTTAAATAAATCCTCTGAAAGAAACAATGTAAATGGTTCTAGTAGTAGAATTATTAGTGTTTTAAATAGTGGTAAAAATGAATTACGAAATTATCTCAAGACGTTACCGATGGATGCAAGACGGGCTTTGTAAGATTTTTTTTAAACGTCAAAATAAAATTAAAAAAGGAAGTACATACTAACAATTTATTTATCACTATCAAAAAAATTTTTTTTTATTTCTTTTATGAAAGATTGTCAGAATTTTTAGATTGTTGTCATCCTCACGATATACATATGCAGCAAGCACTTTTAGATTATTATGTGAAGACAACATTCGACGTAATTGGTACTTTGCCAAATGATTTAAACACAATTATTTTGTCACGTTTAACCGCTGAAGATTTAAGTAATGCTAGGCTAGTGTCTAGACGTTGGAGAGAAATGGTTAAAGAACCAAATCTTTGGAAAGAAAAATGTTTAGTAATAACCAAAGAAGATCCTGTACCACTAGTTTATCCATCCGATCCCAAACTATGGGAAACCATCTATCATGGGTTACATTTTCGTGAATATAATTGGTCAACTGGTAATGTACGAGATTTGACAGGAGTAGAAGGATTAAAAGCATTCGTATCTGATATTATCGACAATGCTTTTGATGC